CATCTTTGTTTTGCACTCTATCTATCTATCTATCTATCTATCTATCTATCTATCTATCTATCTATCTATCTATCTATCTTTTTTGTTCTGTTCCGAATAGGTTAAGTGTGTCTCATTGCCATTGGCGGTATTTATAGACCTCTGTATTAACACAGTCACCAAGCTCTCTCAACTCTCTCTCTCTCTTCTCTCTCTCTCATCTCTTTCTCTCGTCGTCTCTTTTCTCTCCTCTTCTCTCATCTCTCTCTTCTTACTCTCCCTCTCATCTTACTCTCTTTTCTCTCATCACTCACTCACACCACACACACACACACACACACCCACACACACACACACACAATCTTTGTCTCACTGTATCTCAAAGTGCAGCACATGGCCAATCACATTTCCTCTCTGGCTATTCGGTCCTGACACCCTATTTGCATAATCCAAATCCCACTCAATAGTTGGACCTGAGGAGTATCACATGGGTCCACCTGAGCCGATGGGTTCACTTGAGTTTGACAGGCAGGGAAAGTGAGAGATAGAAAATGACATATAAAACATGGAATAAAAAGAGACAGCACTTGCCCATTTTAAAAAAAAAAGGTAAAGTTAATGGTGCTCCTGCCTTTATCCCACTTTCTCTTTCTGACATTAAATATATCAATCCTACTGCACGTTTGCAACATGGTGGTAAAACCATTCATTAAAAGCTGGTGCAGCAGAAAAGCGTATTTTTTCTGGTGCATTATGTTAACTGTGAACAAAAAGCCTGTTTCTCATAATGTATGTGTGTGTGTGCATATATGTGCACACATTCTTATTTGTGTGTATCTGTTTGTGTGTGTGAGTGAGTGAGTGAGTGAGTGCAAGTGCAAGTGCAAGTGCAAGCTTGTACAAATCACTTCGGCTTATGTGGACCCATTTACCGCAATCTGTGGTTAGAGGCAAGATAGGCTTCTAACAAATACACTCCACCTGAAAGCTACACTGCAACTACTATACAGAACGACCTAAACCTTCCTTTTACATTGAATTCTGCTCTTTTCAGTAATTCACTAACAAACAATAGTGATTTCCACTGTCATTCATCTGTAAGCTACACCTAATACGCATTTCATTAGTTAAAACATCTTTAAGCATTGTACATTGTCTAAATGTGTCTAAACACTACAATAAAAAAATCTTATGTGAAAAAAAATTCACATATACTGAAAGGCTGATGTCTAATTAATATAAGATCTTCATGGAAAGCATGATGATCTGGGGGTTTAGCACTGAAATCCATGAATGAGTCTGGGGTCTATCGATGACTATTGCAATATGGAGTATAGGCTATATATATTTAGTTATGAAAAATGATTCATATTATCACTTTAAACACACAGTTAACTATAAAAAAACAGCTCCTCCGTCAGCTCCTAACATCTATGAAACTATTGTAATTTTTCACAATCCTACATATTTAATAGGCTTCTTTTTTTGACAAATTCAGTGTTTCCTTTCTTATTGTTGTAGTAGCTCTTTGGTTGTTTTAACTGCGTACTTTTCTAATGCAGGATGAGGCTGTTTAGCAGAGAGTAAAGGCTCTGTGAATATTGAAACGTATATGAAACTAATCCAAGAAAGATATTGGGTATCTTAAACAATGTATAGGCTAAGCGACTCATCCTAGCTGTAAGTCAACTGCCATTTTGTGTCACTTCAGTCAAACAGGCTACTTCAGATGGTCAACCTTCACCAAGGCCCACATTAGAAAAAGTAAAATTAGCATCTGCCAAATTCTATGGCAAACATAACAAAATGCTCCCTAGAGTTTGGTACTTAAAGGACCAGTGTGTAAGATTTAGTGAAGTTGCAGATGGAAAACCAACTGAGCACTACTTGCATCCGTGTTTGACAACCTGGCAATGAGAACAGGCTAACAAAAACCTGGCCCAATCCAAAGCCAGTGTAAGTTTTGTCCATTCTGGGCTACTGTACAAACATGGTCCAACATGGTGGACACCATGGAAGGCAATAGGCAAGTTAAAAACGGCTCATTCTAAGGTAACAAAAACACAATGATTCCTATATTGAGGTGATTATAAACTAATATAAACATACCTATATTATATTCCATTTCTGCAAATAGATCCTCCAAACTGTTACACACTGGACCTTTAACATTTAATACTCCAGCCACTATGTGCTTGAAATAAAATCTAATAAATGGACGGTTATTATCAGCTGCCACTGTATGAACAAGCTGGGCAATGTTATGTGTTTAGGCGGACCCTTCATCCGGCGGCACTCGCTGTTGGATCCGGGAGAGGGTGCGTGTCAGGCGGTCTGTAGGTTGGACAACTGTCGGTACCGGTGGAACCATCATTGGTTGGACCAGGGCGGCGCCTGTCACTTCGTTTGGCTTTCTTATACATTTAAATCTCCATGGCTCTTGCTTTCTAACATGCTGTTTATGCTTTCAGTCCGCACGGTCATGTAGACTCACTGCGCACGCACGCAAAACGCGGTGCCACCTGTAAAAAGGTGAACTTGTGAATTTGACAATTTGAACACTTTAAGCTTTTGCAGATAGTTCTGAGTAAACTCCGGCGTTGTGTTTACTTTACTTGCCCAATGTTAGTGGCCCTGACTGCCAGGAAATAAAAACCAGTCCACTGGAGACTCTACCTGCTGATGCTCCATGGACAGGTGCTGAGCAAAATAAGACTACTATGGGGAGGAGGGGCTCTGCTGTGCGTCCCGTCAGCGCATGACTCCGTTTAAAACAGATAGGGTTCCTATCCAGCTCTGATCAGGGTTTAGTAGCCTACAGAAAGTTCAGATCAGATTCGGGTCTTTCCT